GCGGCACTCAAAGAGATGATGTGCTTGCCTGTTAAGCTCTGTCACAATCCGGCAAAACCGGGCAAAACTTCCACAAGGATTCTGCATTGCGATCAACTGCCGCCAGATGGCATCTCATAAAAACCTAGTTAATCGCGTTTAATTTAAAATTCCTTTGCAAAGTGCCTTTTAATTTTACGTGGTATGTTTTATGAGGAACCAACCTAACCGACGACGATCGGCATTTGTTCCGAAAGTCAATCATATTCTAGAAAAACTATGTTAAATGCTAGCGCTCGGAAGGTCCCCGCAACGATGCCTTGTTCAGTACGGTACTGCTCTCCTCGTCACGACCAGTCGATTGGGATCCGTTCTGTTCCCCCCACCAGTGGTAAGGGCAGACGGTGAACACCATGGCTGCGTCAGTAAGTTGGCTCATTTCGACCAAGTGGCCGAAACAAGAAAACGCCAAGACAGTTGCCGCCAAGATCAGGAGTTTCCTGGCTTCGCAACAGACACCCGTGTTACTTCCACACCTCGAAGTGGTCCCCTTCGGGAACGAGAGGCTCATCGTCGTGCCCAGGGAGCACGCCTCAGCCACTCTCACCGCCGCTACATCCGCCGGATGCGGCTGCTCCTGGAAGATCTACGAGCACAAACCAGTAGTGTGTCCGAGAATCTCCAGAACAATATACCTGAGTGTGAATCGGATTGTTCCGCCCCCCATCGCCGTGGCCGCCCTGGCCAAGGCGCTCAGGACGCGCCGTGTGGCACACATCGCCAAGGAAGACCCATTGGTCTACCTCTACAGCGCAGAGGACTGCGACCAAGGCTGCCTCCTCAACATCCTTGCCTCAGGCATGGCCATCCACGGAATGGTCTTCGAGGTCTTCCAGTCGGAGGTCGTCGGCACCTGCGCCGCTGACTCCCGGATCACCTTTCTCAATACGCCACGGCTACCAAAGAGAACTCACTCCAGACCATTATCGAGGATGAGCCGATGGTGACTTCACCGGCCCCACCACCAGCGACGGGGACTCTGAAGAAGAAGTCAGGCCGCGCCCGCACCCGAGTCGACGCGCCGCCACCTCCTCGGCAGTGTTGGAGATGCCAGCAATGGGGGCATGAAATCTCCACCTGCCCCGGCCCGGATCGGTGCAGGAGATGCGCCGGTCCACACAGGACATCGGCCTGCGACAAGTCGGCCCCGCTTGCCTGCGCCAACTGCACGCTGCCACACGCGAGCTCCTCTGCGAGCTGCCCGCAGCGTCCACAACACCAGCAGTCCAGCGCGGGGAAGGCGTCCGAAAAGTCAACGGCCAAACGTCGTCCGGCACCCACCATCAGGCGCACGCCAAGGCAGCGCCAGCCGGACCTCAGCTCCCTCATACACCTGCTCCTGCTGCAGGCCATCGAGAAGCTCCAGACTCCTCTTCTCCCTCGCCGCCCTCGACGACGACGCGGGAAGAAACCGAAGCCGAAGGCTTCGACCTAACTCCGGGGTTTTTTAACTTTGAAATTTTTCCTCGGTGCTGTTATCCTAACTGTGATATTGATTGACAAACTACAAGTTTTTGCTATATAAATTAGCTGGTAAATGGAACGGCTCTTACTGTCTGTATAAAAATGCACTGCTAAGAAACAATAAAGACTTTTCAAACGTAACGTAAACGTCACGTCGTGGTGCGCCCACGTGTGAAGTCCCTTTCATCACGGCAACTGCATAAGTTGTTGTTTTGACATGTCCTATGACACCATCGGTGTTAATTTTTTCTGAGCTGATAGTAAATGTTGGCGAGTGATTAAACAGTCCCTTAGGACTGTAGCATCCACAATGTGGAAACGGTGGCTCCGATGGAACTAGCACTGGACATATGCCCTGAGCATTCTAGCTTCGCCCGCAAATTTCCTCTCTCCTTGTGTGGCAACGCAGCAGAACACTCCGCGGGCTGGGAATTCGCAGTTGGTGGGCAAGAAAGACAGATCTGCTAGCGCGACCTGGCATCAGGTACCTTTAAACACACAAAACCATAATCATGTGCGATAAAACGGCAGTCTCGAAGCCATAAAAACGGCCAAAAATCATAGAGGGGTCAAAATAACCCCTCCGGTCCTTCTAGGTATACGAAAATCCCGGTCCTTCTAGTGTTAAGCTGAGACGTCAGCGCATAGGAAGCAGAAGTGCCGACTTTGAGAGCTGAAACTTGTAAAATTTGTTGGCTCCCGACCGGACTCGAACCCGCACACGCACGGTCGACAAGCGGCAGCGCTATCCACTGCGCCACCGCTCTGCTGCGGGGAGGAGCGGTCCAGCCGGCACTCAATGGGACAGGCAGGGCGGCGGCCGGTTGAGTTCGGAAGCAGTCAGTCAGAAAATGCGATCCGCGCGTGCAACGAAGAGGACGGCCCGCGTAACAAAAATGCCAAGTAAGTCGGACCCGTGCCTATAGCAATCGAATGAGAGGTGAGCCGCACGAATCTATTGAAATGGACTCGGTGACTTCGGCTGTGGGCACACGGACCAGTCGAAGCGAGCCGAATGGACTTTCGGAGGTGCGGAGCGGTTGGTTTTCTGCTCAGCGCCACGCCAGCCGCCGGCCAGTCGCCTATGCTTGCCATGGTGGCTCGCCGCGAGCCGCGCGCCCGGCCCGGAGAGACACCGGTGGCTCGAGAGCCGCGCGTTTGAGAGGCCTGCATTACAATATCTGCAGATGTTATCATAAAAAGTCACATATACTTAAAGAATGATGGGAATGATGTAGTGTGCACAGCGTCAGTGTTCTCCTATTATTACAAGGTAGATGTACGCCAGACCACGTCTCGCGTAACAGCCTTCGCGATATCTCACGAAACACTGTTACGCTGCGACGCGCCTGGCATACATCTACCTTGGCCTGCGGCGCTGACACCCGGGTCGGGTAGAGCAAAAATGTACTCAAAGATTCGGGCCTCCGGCCCTTCAACCCCGTCACTAAGACTAAGCATGCATGGTTGTACATTTTTTCGCTTATTTTCGTCAAAAATACCCTCTAGCGTCTAAATGGTTAAAGCTAGAGCAAAACGGACAAAATTTTCGCCCATAGGGCTCTACTTTGATGAGTTACCCCCTAGGAAACCAGAAGAAAAATATTTTGAAAAACAGTCATTTTTGGGACCTGTGGTTTTTGATTTTTTAAAAATCCAATTTTTGAGCTAGAATGCTCATCTTCGAACTCGATCTGTCCTTTTATGACACAAAACGACCCTAAAAATCCCAGGTCGCTCACTCAATTCGTTCTCGAGTTATCGTGCGGACAGACAGACAGACAGACAGAAAAAGTTTGTTCCGACCTGACGGAGTAATAGGCTTCGCTAATCGCTCAGCCAAAAATAGCAAGTTACAAGGTAGATGTACGCCAGACCACGTCTCGCGTAACAGGCTTCGCGATATCTCACGAAACACTGTTACGCTGCGACGCGCCTGGCATACATCTACCTTGGCCTGCGGCGCTGACGCCCGAGTCGGGTAGAGCAAAAATGTACTCAAAGATTCGGGCCTCCTGCCCGTCAACCCCGTCACTTAGACTAAGCATGCGGGGTTGTACATTTTTTCGCTTATTTTCGTCAAAAACACTCTCTAGCGCCTCAACGGTTTGAGCTAGAGCAAAACGGACAAAATTTTCGCCCATAGGGCTCTACTTTGATGAGTTACCTCTTAGGACACCATAAAAAAAATGTTTTTAAAAAACTTTATTTGTGGGACCTGTTGTTTTCGATTTTTTAAAAATCAAATTTTTGAGCTAGAATGCTCATCTTCGAACTCGATCTGTCTTTTTATGATACAAAACGACCCTGAAAATCCCAGGTCGCTCGCTCAATTCGTTTTCGAGTTTTCGTGCGGACAGATACACAGACAGACAGACACACAGACAGACAGACAGACAGACAAAGTTTTTTCCGACCAGACGGAGTAATGGAGGACCTGCGCGTAAAGAAGAACAGAAGGAAGATGGCCGCCGCAGCGGGTGGTGGGGGTAGGAACATAACAAAACCTCATTTGTTCAGCAGTCGACGCGTTCAGAAACTGACGCTATTTTGGTGGACCATTGTCTCTAAATTATCACAAAATTAATATTTGACACGTAAACAACATTT